GACATTTGATCGTACATTACAGGAGGAGGAAGCAGCTGCATTGCGGAGATATATGCCAGACAGGAGAGGGGAGGTCTGATTTGAAGGAAGAAAACGTTACGAATTTTCCACACATTTCGAGTTTTTAACGAAGTTGCATGAAGGGAACGATTGTACTAGCATTGAATTGGTATAGGCGGGTTGGCAATCTGTCATTTTTGTGAAAACTTTCGTGCGGCGCGGGCTTTTGGCATGTTGGCGTTTTATGGAGGGCGGCTCTCTGTTGTTCGATACCAATTTTGTATGTCTTGTCTTGCGAGAGAACGGGGACCAATGCCGGTTCCACAATTCACCTCGAAGCGATTTGATCTCCACCTCTTTGATGCTCGTTTTTGGTGCCGTCTGCAATGCTTCTTTGATACATCGGCTCTTGTAGCTCTCGGGTGATATCCTATCCAGAATTGATCTATGAGTGATTAACCTCGTGCTTCCCGCCTACACCAGATGGCTGGAAGCAAGTGTCATATGTGCCACTAGCCATCCTTCACTTCCCGTGCCCCTTCTTCTTCCCCTGCCCCGCCTCCTCCGCCCACCCAGCCTTGACAAACGCATCCCTCGCCGTGCTGTTAATCAGCGCGAACCGCCTCGGCCCCAGCTTCTGCCCACCGTACCACCTCGTCACGACGACCATGACGTCCCACAGGTCCATGAGCTGCATCAGGTGCAGCAGTCGCCCGCCCGCCGCCGTCTCGCCGTCGTCGTCGCAGTCTTGGAAGCTGGTGCCGTTGGGCCCGCGGATCCGCCACGCCGTCATGTTGTGGCTGGCGCTGCGGACCTTTTTGTCCGTGGCGATGAGGTGCTGGACGTACGACGCGGCCTGCTCGGGAGAGGTTACGGGTGCGGCGCGCGCGAGGAAGACGGATTTGAGTTCGACAAAGGGGTCGGAGATGATCCAGGGGGGTTCCTCTAGCATGTAGGAAGGCAGAGAGTCAGCTTCTTGGTTCCCGTGCTCTTCCTCTAGCCGTGATGATGACGACGGCGGTGGTGGAGAGTGTGAGGTGGTGGTATTGGGTGGTCCTGACGGCTCAGCTTCTGAAACTTCCTCCACCCGTCGCGAGAACTCCTCCACGGCGTCGAAGAGGCAGACAGCGCCCGGCTGGTAGACGGCGGCGACGGCCTCGCGAAACAGGAGCAGGTCGCGGGCGCCCGCGCCGCGGGGCGCGTTCTCGCCGGCGCTGTGGGTGCCGAGGATCTCTGGCGGTACGTCTGGGTATGAGTCGGCGAAGCGGAGGGTGAGCGAGGAGGCACCCGGGCCGCCGGGAAGCGTGAGAACATAGTTGTCTGGTGGTGTGTGGCGCAGGGTGTCGTCTCCGTAGATTGAGTTGAGGGCTTCTATCTCGTCTTTGAGATCGTCTGACATTGTTGGTTGTGTAGTATGAGGTGTGTGGCGTACCTCTTGATGGGGATATGACAACGGTTATGTGAGGTTGCTAGTTGATGAGAGGGGGGATCACAATGTGGTGTTTGATCTGGTTGCTACTCTCGTGAGATGAGTACCGTCTTATTTCGATTTTCTCATGTGATAAGCATAAGATATTTGAGAAGCTTTCATTCATATGCAAAGTGCATGTATGAGTGCCAATGTCGAGGTTGAAGATGAAATTGAGAGAAAGTTACATTGAAGTCGTTCAGTTCCATTGCCCCTCCAATCATCTCATGATGTGGGGCCGTCCAACGTCGAAGGCCCGAGCTCCGCAGATACTCCACTCACGTCGACCTCAGTGCTCACACTGGATGAGCTTCACAATCTCACAGCTGCGGCTGAATGTGGTATCGCCGTGGCAAACGCTGACCATTTGGACACAAGGTACAGACGGAGCGATTGGCGCAAGCGGAACCTGGTGCCGATGCCAGCCTATCACAGGCAATGGTGATTTCAGCTCTGCAAGCTAGCTGCTCAGGGCAAGATAGGCAAGATGGCGTCTTTTCATATCTCAACATTGGCCTCACACCTTGAGTGAGTGTGTACGCATCGCTTACAAGACTTGAGCTACACGGCGACATCGGAACGGCTTTTTAACAAAAGCGTCTCCCGCTGGACTTGCATGCAGAGTGTTGTATTAGCGAATCCATGGACCAGAACAGACTTCTACCAACATAGAAGACCGCTTTGCAGACGACTGATACCAAAGTCAGCAAACATGCCAGCGGTAGGTGCACCCAAGAGTCACGTAGACTGCCTCCCTCCCCTGGACAACTTATGCTCGGCTTGCAGCCAACTCAACCTCTCAGCCGAGAAGTTTCTACCTGGTCAACCCAAGATCAGCTCCCTCCCAGGCTTCCTCGCTCGTCCAATCGACCCCGTCGGGCTGCAGCCGCGCGAGCTGGGCTACCTCGACGAAATCTACCGCAGAAGAGACGAATGTCCTCTGTGCTGGCTCCTCTTCAACGCAACACACGCGACGAACGAAGAAGGCGCCGATCGCTTTGAATGGAGCCGCACCAACGTGCGCCAGGCAATCGGGTACGATGGGCTCACGAGGGACGGCGGCCGGGTCCGCTGCTCCGTCGAGTGGCAGCTGGACGGCCGTCTCTTGGAGCCTCCTGTGGGGACGAGGGACAATACGCATGCGCCGCCGACTCGCCGCTTAAAGGTCTTTAGCCCGGACGAGATCTTCACCGAGGCTTACATCATGCTGCTGCCCCCGGACTCTCACTCAACATGGGACAAGACCTTTTTGGCCCGGCGAATAGCTCCTCATCAGGCCGACGTGAGTCTTCTCCGGCGCTGGCTCGACATCTGTAGGACGCACCACGGCAGCGGCTGTCAGCCCTCCCCGCCGGATGAAATCTTCTCGCTGCTCGAGAATCTCAAGTTCATCGACTTGGACGAGGAGAAAATCGTCACTAGCGCCCGTGGCGGTGTTCAAGTTACTGAATATGCGACTCTGAGCTACGTATGGGGTGTGACACAACCTCTCGTTCTGACGAAGGAGAATGTATTCGAGTACTCGTCAAGGGGATCCCTCGGCCCCAATACGCCAGGTCTGCCGAATACCGTCCGGGATGCCATGATGCTAGTCAAAGCATTGGGTATCAAGTATATCTGGGTAGACGCTCTCTGCATCCTCCAAGACGACGAGGAGGAGAAGTTCCGCGTCGTCCCGATGATGGACCGCGTATACGGACACTCACTTCTCACAATTTGCGCCGCCGCCGGCAGCGGCTCTCACCACGGAATCCCAGGATCGCCATCTACGCCTCGCGAGGCCCGGCAGCCAATGGTGCAGTGCAACGGCATCGACCTGGTGACCACCAAGACGGTCGAGGGACTCGTCGAGAACACAATTTGGAACAGCAGGGCGTGGACATTCCAGGAGAGGATGCTCTCCAAGCGGTCCATGATCTTTGTCGAGAACCGCGTCTTCTTCCAGTGCCGCCACGCGACGTGGTCCGAAGAGGTCTTTTCTGAGGTGCTCGCCCCGTCGTGGACCCTGGAAATGATTCGGTCTCCGCTCAAGTCGTTTGAGAAGAACCCGGTCAGGCTGTACTTGGAGTGCGTCGAGCTCTTCAGCGGCAGGCTCATGACCTATCAGGGCGATCGGCTGCCGGCCTTTGAGGGCATGGCCGCCATTCTGTCTCCGCCGCTCCACGCCACCCTCTTTTACGGGATGCCCGACTCCTATTTCGACTTTGCTCTCTTGTGGGAGAAGAAGATTTCCGGCCTCAGGCTCGAGAACTTGGGTGGTCGATCGCGGTATCCTAGCTGGTCGTGGAGTGGCTGGCATGGTGCGTCGACGTGGCGACTGTCCATGGTCTCTGGTATCTTGTTGAATCTTCATGAGTGGTTGAAGTCACACACTTGGGTCGTGTGGTATAAAATCGCACGAGATGACCCCATGGGAAATCGTACAATGGTAACCGACGACGCCAGCACAAAGCCAATCTTCGAAGTCGTGTGGTCGTCAGACGAACTTTGCCACAACTCAAATCGATGGCACGGATACGCCAGAGCCTCTGCAGAAGACATTCCTTTTGGTCGTCAGATTAGCCAGAGCGATGAAGAGCACCCGGAAGAGATCGCACGTGAGCCCAGACCAATCATGCCCACGACAACTCTCCTGCGGGAAGACTACCTATACTTCTGGACCTACACCGCCTTCTTCCAGCTCTCCAGAACAAGTAGAAGCAGCCCGTCCTTTGCCTCGAAGCTCGAGGTAGGCCTCCACCGCTTCGGTCTCCTCGACCTTAACGGCGACTGGTGCGGCACCGTAATCCTTGAGGACACGTGGTTCGCCCGCGTGGGCGACGTCGTCGAGCTCGCGGCCATCTCGGACGCTCGCGACTTTTCGATGGAGGAGCTGGATTCCTGGAACTATTATGTGCCCGAGGACCGCGAGGTGTCCGAGTGGCATCTGTACTACGCGTTCGTCATCACCTGGAATAAGGATTGCAGTGTTGCTGAGAGGGCTGGGCTGGCGAAGGTGTATCGGCGGGCTTTTGACGTGGCTTCTTTTCACCCGGGTAAGGCGTGGAAGGAGATTACTCTCGGATAGGTAGGGAGTGGGTTATTGCTTGAGGAGTTTGGGGAATGCTGACAAGAGATCCGAGACAATCTTCGTTGGTTGACATTGAGTTATTGTGACAAAAGCTGGCTACCTTATATGACGCAAAAAGACAAACTTGCGTTTGAAGAAAACTGAAAAGTCTATGAAACTATCACGCCCACTCGGGAGTGATGATTGATTGACAAAAAGCCAAGAGTAATCGAGAGAAGAAGAACTTTGAAACCCCCAATCCTGACCTACGAGACGTAAAGCATAATGGGAAATTGTACAAGCAAGAAAAGAAATTAGACGAGAAGGAAAATGATGCTCAAGTAAACCAACGTGTCTCCCCATCAACCGTCATGCCTAAAAGGATTCGGACAGGGTAAGGTATAGCTATAAGACCCAACACTCGAAAGAGAAAGCATCCATCCAGAAAGACCAAGTTCCCAACCCCCAACCCCCAACCACCCTTTAGTAGTAATACTTCTTCACAGTCTTCTTCTCAACCAAAACCCGCCTCGGTCTGCACAGAGCAGGCCGGCCGTACCGGTCCCGGCAGATGCTCACGCCGCCATGGTGGTATCCGGGCCCTTCGAACCGCAGCCGCTCGCAATAGACGCACCGCTCCGACCCATAGCCGTAGCTCGAGCCGCTGTACCCGGATCGGTAGCTGAACCGGTCGTCGAAGCGGTCTCGGTAGCCGTAGGACGAGCGGCAGCGGTAGCAGACTGTCTCTGTGAAGGAGTTGTGCCAGTCTGTGAGGTTTGGAATCAGGATGTTAGTCTTCAGAGAAGCGTGTGAGGTCACAGGGAAAGGGGGAGTATGTCGGGGGGAAAGGGGGAATAACCCCCGGTTCATCAAGATCCAGGGGGTGAGAGAATGATGACGCTGGTAGATGAGAAAAGCCAGAAAAACCACAAGAGATAAGTGTTACTTACAGCGCCGACACTGCGTGCAGAGTTGATACCCCGCCGGCCCAGGCCCATATCCGTACCCGAACCCCGGACGACCGGGGAAGACCTCCGTGGTGGTGACCTCGTTGATGACCTGCGCCCCGGCCGGCACGACAGCCACGTCTCGTTCTCTGTTTGCGACGATGATCTCGTTGTTGACGGGCCCGCGGGAGACCTCGTTGACGACGACGGAGGCGCGGTCCTTGACTACCTCGGCGACAGCCGGACCGCCACCGCCGTGACCGCCGTGATGTGAGGGCATAGTTGCGGAGCAGTTGAAGTGTTTGCCTTTTTTTTTTCCTTTTCTTGTTTCTCGAGTCCCCCTTTCCCCTCCCTTTTTTGTTTTTATCGAAACGGACTTAGTGGTTTGTTTGTGCTCGAGTACGGACAAGTTTTTGCCGTTTGGGAACGTTGGCGAGGGAATATTGTGAGAGGGGGTGTGAGAAGGTGTAGTTGTAGTTGTAAGTCGCAGGCTGAGGGCTGAAAAGTCTGAGGGAGCTGAGTGCCGACGGCTGAGTTCCAAACGTGACGCCGCCAACAAACAAGCGCTGATACGTTGAGTGAGTTGTCCTTGTGATGTCTCGAAAATAATGCAACGGGCAAAAAGGGGGTGGTCGCCCCAGGCTTCTATACTACCTTCCCTTAGGTGAGAGGCAAAAAGGCAGCCCAAGATACACACACCAAATTACAACAGGCAGGGAGGTCTCCAATGACTACCTCTACTTACTTACACCCATCCCCTTCCAAGCGATTCCAGAGTCATTCCTTCTCCTTGAACACGCATTAGACTGAGGCAGTACCGTTTACTTCTGTTGATGCCTCCTCCAAAGCTTACCTTGGCCGTCTCCGTGCCCGGGTGACCACCACTAGCGGGACTCCCTCGCCCAACGCATGACGTGAAGGCCAAGACGGAGCTGGTGAGGTCACAGGTTCGAAGAGTAAGAAAAGGAAATTGAAGAGTGGTGTGAGGGGAGGGGAGGGGGGAAGCGAAGGGGGACAACGATGCTAGCTCCAAAAACCAAAACACCAAAAGCTGACCGCGTACCCTGCGGGATTGAAGCTAACGATGCACCCAACGCGGTCTAAGTTCACTTAGATCAGATTGTGAGAACGTGGCAGAGCCCAAACCAACAATGGCACATCCTTTTGGGTCTCGCTTCTCCTTTTCACCTTGTGTCTGCCTAAAAAACGACGGCGGGCAATTGTCCCTGGAGGTAGACTGCGCTGCGGGCTGCGCTGCCCCTGAACCCCTCCGGAGGGGCTGAGCCGGAGAAGGCATCCTCAACTATCGTTGAATCCGGGCTTCCGGGACCCTCATCGGTGTCACACATGGGGCCTCTGACCACACCTCTTTTTCGGGAACTCTGGGACTGGGCATAGGTCACCGTCATCTTGTTCTCATAGGTACCGCCAACAATAATTTGTGTATTAGGGGATAGAAGGACGTCTCGTACACGTTTGCAGCGCAAGTGTTCTCACCTCCGATGGCTATTTAGTCCAGAAACAACGCCCAGACGCCCGAAATGCCATACCTGCCCGGTTTCCAACCCATGTTTTTCCATCATGTCCTCGTGTGACTTTGTGTTCTCTTCATGACCTTCCGGGCCCGTCGCCCTTCTTTGCGACTTCTTTCCGCGGTAGGATCACGACCTTCCGGCTAAGCAGCTCTCTCAACTCGGGAGTGATAATCTTCTTGACCTCGAGCTCTTCAGTTGCCTTGCTCTTGTCCTTGCGTGGCGATGCCGGACCTGCGCTGCTTTGGCCCTCCTGTGGAACTTTGTCGGTAGATGCCGACTTTGAAGGAGATCCCGGGTCGCGGATTCTCGGTCCTGGGAAATTGCCCTTCTTGTCCACGGCCTCAACCAAGCGGTGGAACCGGCGGAATAGCGCCTCCGCTCGAATCAGAGTTGAGTCAAGATCCATTGTGTTGGAAAGCTCGTTGACTGTGCCAGATTAGTATGACGAAATTGACAGGAACATTAGATGATCACACATACCGTATTTGAGCACCTCATCAAAATGCTGCAAGTGGGTCATGATGACGTCGCGGTGCTTCTCCAAAATGGCCAAGGCCACAAAGAGGTGGAAACTGCTGCTCAAATAGTCCGTCCACAGAGTCTCCCAAAGACGCAATACGTCCATCCACTCGAACTCCCGTTTATACCAGACGAGCAACATGCGGAAGAAGAAGAAAAAGTTTGTGCTATCCGCAGACTGCAGGTGAGCGTAAAGCTTGGGATCCATGAACTGAACGAGGTGGTCAAGAGTCAGCAGCTGAGACCGCATACCCGATTGATCGCGTAGGAAGTTGCGCTCCATGCGGTCCATGAAGTGCTGGAAGCCCCAAAAGGCGATGGCATCATCCTGCATTACGGCGTAGATGGGAGCAAGGAGATCAGACATGCCCTGCACGTAGCCGAGATCTTTATTGTACTCATTGTACGTCAGGAGCATGTCCTTCATCTGCTCAAGATGGACGTTGGTGCCGACTTCGGAAAAGGGAGAGTCGGGATCAGGGTGCGGGATGTCTTCTCCGGCGAAGATGGGCACGTTACGATCTGTCCGGTGGACATCCTTCTCTATCATGATGTCAGTCGCGTTTAAATGCCAAGAGAACATTATAGAGACTTACCGATTCGACCGCGCTGCTCACGCCACCACTCGCCCTGTTCGCCCTCGCCTCCCAAGTCTACCAGTCTCTCCCACCATGCGCCCTTCAACTTGACATACTCGTCTCGTAGGGACGCAAGATGGGCTTTTCGCTCCTCCGCAGTACTATACCAGTCATGGACCCCGAGAATAAAGAGCCACGCCTCTTTTCTTACACCATCGTCAGCGTCCAGTCCTCCGTGAAACACCCGTTCTTTGACCTCGTCAACAGTGACGGAAAGCCTTCCGGTTCGTGGATCAAAGAACGTGTTCCATTCTTTCAATGTCACTGTCTTTCTTCTGTCCTCCAACGACATGGTGCTACTGCCGTCCAGGAGCTCAAACTCCCCAACATCGGTGTCCTCAAGCTCCAAGACCTCCTTAGCAGTCCATATTCTCTGACTCCGATCTCGCTCACTTTGCTCGGCGATACCCATGGCCCAACGCGCCAGGTATATCCTCGCGCTGTCAAACTCATCTTGGAGAGTCTGAACCTCTGGATTGCGAAGAAGCCTCTTGACTTGCGGGGGAACATTCGGATTCTGTATGACATCTTGCGCAGCCCGCCTGGTGAAAGTGGTGACCTTGCTGAACTTCTCCATGATGTTCCATCCAGTTTCTTTGACGAACTTCACAAAGGGATCCATCTGCGCGTCACCACTGGGGCCAGCGCCGCCAGCTCGAGTCCCCGTACCATCCTTCTGGCTGGCCTGGGCCGTACTGGACGTGAGCTTGCCACTGAAAGCCTCGCTGTCCTCCCTCGAGGGCTCCACCAGGTAAATGTTGGGCTCGGCGCCGGATCTCTCGATCGGAACGTAGCGCCGCAACCATCGCAGGACCTCGTCGCCGCCCCAGAACATCTCACCCCGGTCACCGAATGGGTCGAAGCTGTCCCTCGTCCGCCTCTTCCTCTTGAGGATCGTGCTCTGGCATTCGCTGTCGTGGAAAAACAGCGCGGGAAAACTGTCACCAGCCCTCGAATTGATGATCAGAGAGCCGAACCACCAGCCCAGACTCGGTGGTCTCACGAGAAGCGAGTATATTGCGCTGACTGGGATGGCGAACGCATATGTGCCTACAGAGCCTCTGTGGGATGTTACTGTCGGCGGAGGTGGTACCAGGTATGACTGCTTAGGTGGCGATTCACCTTCGCTGAGGTCGACCTTGACGTAGATACTCTCGGATTCGCCGAGGGAGGTTTCGGGGAGCCATGCTAGGAGCAAGTTGGAGGGAGGTGGGTTGCGAGAGTCTCGAGACGACGAGGAGGTCGGTCGTTCGCTTGAGCCTCCTTTTTGCTGGAGTAAAGCTATGTAGCCTGGGATATTATCTTTCGCTGATGGCGTGGGGTGAACATAGACCTGCGCCGTTGCAACATTCCCGTTAGTTCCGGTCCTCAAGGTCTGGGGTGGCGGGAGTGATTTTTATAAAATACCTTGCTCTTAGAGAAGAGAAGCTTGACGCCCCGTCCTGTTTCTGTGTGCGTGATTGTGTTGTAGTCCCCTTCCTCATCGTCGCTGAGGGCGTAGAAGCTCCCCGAGGGCGAACGAGGTCGTGTCGGTGGTGGAGCGTTGGCGGACGGCGGGGGATCCGAGTCTGAGGTCATCGTGCAGCGTGCCGCCGATGATGTAAGCTGGGACGTACGGAAGGCTTCGGCTCCGGAGGCCTGCTATCGTCTTGGGTGAAGCTATTCAGGAAACGGAAGTATTGCGACGATGGCTCTACTGTTAGAGTTTCCGGTAGATAAATAAAGTGACAAGAGCGAGAAACCAAAAGGATGATCCGGGGAAGGTGGCATGTGAGCGAACTGTGGCTAATGATATGGGACGTTGGGGGCGAACAGCCCAAGGTGCTGCGCAGTTGTCGCGCCCTCTGAGGGGCGTGGCCACCCACTTCCGTCACTGAATCACCCCGCTGCGAAAGCTTGCATCCATGTCTCGGAGGGGTTCTTCCCACTGTATCTGTACCGCGATTTAGGCAGCCTTTTAGCGTGGTGTAGCAGTATAGCTACCCGCGCATCAAGGTGAACCATGTCATCTGCAGCATGCATGCGTCGTCATTCGCGCCTCCGGTTGGTCCTTCCGGGGCTGCGTATTGCACGCGCAAGCAACTCGCTCCATCGTCGCCAGATTCGGCCTCGCGAGACGAAGCTTCATCGCGGACTCGCCGTTCTTTTTATGTGTTTCTAGGTGTAAATACCCGTCGTGACTCACTTAGGCTCATCATTTTGCGCTCAAAGCGTATTCCCAATTTCAATGACGACGGAAGCTTGCGACATATCTGCAACTTTTGATGAAGCCCGGCAGACCGAACAATACATCAGGGTCAGCGACTTGAGCCCAAATCCATGATTAGTAGTGTCTGTATTGTGTGTATGTATGTGCCTCAGCTCTGCTCTCGCACCTTTCCGGATACATGTCTCCAAGCAACATCCGCATTCTGCCTTGCCTCAGGGTTTGCGACGCACACCGTCTACATACGGTCCGCAGATCCTTATAATAAGCCGACTGTCGACAACTTGACTCCGGCCCGCCAAGCATCTTGACCGCGAACGCCCGCATCATAATGAAAAACCCCCCAAACAAGTACCCGGCATCCCCAAGGCGTATTCTCGCTCGTGTTCCGCGCATCATTTGATCCCGTCCACTTTACCTCATACGAGGACCACTGGGGAGACCTTGGCGTCTTGGGCCAGCAGGCAGTCCTGTTCGCCCACCACTGCCACCACCACCACCGCCGCCGCTGCCTCCACCATAGCCAGGATCGTTGTTCGACCACGGAGAGTTGGATGCCACAAATGGCCTGCCTCCGCCTCCACCTCCACCACTGCCTCCATTTCCATCGTACATGCCGCCCGGAGCAAATCGGTCTTCGTAGTCACCGCTCCCGCCTCTGCCCGTCGGTGGTTGGAACGGCCCTTGGCCTCCAGATGCCGGACTGGTTGTTCTCGCACCTCCCCATAGTCGCTGCTTAAGCCGATCCTGTGCTGAGCCGCCCGCTGAGCTACCCGGCGGTGTGTTCGTCGTGTCTCTTCCATACGCCGCACTCTGCTGGTAACTGCCCGCTCGCTGACTGGGCAGAGGTCGGGCCTGCACCTCTTCACGCCCATTGTCTCCGGCTCGGGCAAAGGGGCTCAGTCGCGCGGGCTGCTGCTCGGCGCCTCGCATCGGTGGGGGAGCTCCGCGACCTTGTCGCAGGCTCATCGTGTCCTGCCTCTGTTGCGCGCCGCCGTTGTTGTCCCACAAAGAGCTCAAACCCGTCGTAGGACCAGCTGGCTGTTGCTGCTGCAGACCTCCGTATCGTGCGCCGACTTGCTGGGCTGGTTGGGCGTAGACGGGCGCTGCTGGGGGTGGTGCCTTTGGGTCGGGCGGAAGCCAGCCTGGGAACGGACGGCCCTTCTCGGTGTAGTAGCCTCTCAATACTCTGCACACGTGGGTGTCGTCTTCCGTGTCGCCGTCATTTTCACTCTGCAACAAGCGACTCTGCAGGTTCGAGATCTGAGAGGTGGTGTTGGTGAGGATCCTCGAGTACCAAGATGACATCGTGCCTTGTTCCTTGCCGCGAGGATCCTGCGGGGCAAAGGCAGAGAGGCAAAATGCGCTGTTTTCGACTGTTTTCGGACGGGTTGGGGTAAAGAGCTCTGCTCCGGGGACAAAGGCTAGTCGTCTGGGTTCGTGGGTAAAATCGCTCGCTCGCTGTCGAAGTTAAGTACTGAGAAATGGAGAGATTAGGATAACAAAAAGCCGGCGGGTGGTTTCGTTATGCTGTTTTAATTTTGGAGGGTTGCTTGAAGTGGTCCGTTTCAAATAAGCCAGTCTTGAATGATAGGGAATGGGAAGCGACCTGGGTTGACGGGTCCGACACTTGTCGCCCGACGGAATGATGCAGGGTGGTGGGGCCTGGGCCTACCCGCATTGTTCTAAAGGAACTTGCACTAATTGAGGTGCTTTGTCTTCACCGAAGGCCCCCCGGCTTGAGTAAGTTTCGGTGAAGCATGGATCACTGCTCCAGACCGCATGCGAATCACCACCCAGTCTCTGATTACGTATGGAAGATTTTGTTACTGAGATTGGCTCAAGCATGCACATCACCGGGCAGTCATCTATTTCCACGAACCCGTACTCCAACGGTCCATGGTTTACATGATTGAAATAAGAGTACTAAGTATGTGAAGAAGGCAAACGCGAAAGAAGGTATGAGAAAGAACACAAATGGGAGAGAAGCACGATTGAAACATGCACGCAAGCAACGACAATGCAGCAATATCAAGCAGCCATTTAATAAAAGGTATATCACAACACACGGTGGTATGCACAATGCCCCCAGTTTTTGATTTTCCGTCCCGTAATCAGCCGTAAAGGTATCCGCGCCAGACGCCATTGGAATTCCACGCGAGCCTCTCTCACCAGGTCAATTCCTCCGCAATCTTGGGGCGCTCCTCCTGCTTCTGCTTCAGCCTCTTCTGGTTCATCTTGACCGCCCGGCCGCGCTTCCGCTTGTCGCCAGCCTTGCGAGCCGCCTCCTCGTCGCTGTCTTCAGAGTCGTCGTCCTCCTCCTCGTCGTCATCATCCTCGGCGTCGTCGTCGCTCTGGAGCCAGTCCTCAATGTCCTCCAGCTCTTCATCACTCTCCTCAATGTCGGAAACGTACTCGACCTCCTTCTCCAAGTTGTCCTCAGACTCGTCCTCCTCCTCACCCTCCTGCTCCGACTCCATACCGGGGTCCATGTCTTTATCACGCTTGCCAGCGCCCTCCTTCTCCATGGAGTTGAGAACTTTCCTCCAGATCGACTCGCTGACGTTGAGGGGCTGGTCGCCGTACGCGCCGGAACGTAATCTCTCCACCAGCTCGCGCTCAATGGTACGCTCCAGCTTGGCAGCGGCCTCGGCCTTGCGCTCTCTGGCCTCCTCGCGGCGCCGGATCTTGGGCGCCATCTTCGGTACCAGCTTCTCGCCCATGCGCTCCTCCTCGGCGGCGATCTTACGCATGCGAATGTTGACTTGTGTGAGACGAGTGAGACGCTGTTTGCACTTGTGGATGAGGAACTTGGGCCAGTAGATGAGCTTGTCATCAAGCATCTCCAGGGCCTTGGCGTAGTTATTGGGCAGCTTGATGCGCTCCCATAGCTTCGAGGGCATGTGCGCACGTTCGATCGTCTTCATGTAAAGGTACAGCGTGTCCTTATTCGGAGCGCGTCGAACGGTGGCATAGCGGGAGTTTGCCAGCGGGCATGATTGTCGGTTGCAGAGACCTGTGACATTGTTCTCGTTTCTGCAGAACGTCTGCTTCTTCTCTGTGGAAAGTTTGAAACTGCAGAACTGCTGGTTGATGATTTGCCTAGGGCGCGGTGAATTAGAATTGAAGCCTGCAATTTACTCAATAAGATCGAGACTCACCAGATAATTTCGTCGGACGCCATTGTGGCGGTTTTGTGCGGAAATGGACGAAATTGAGAGTTGTCAAAAGGCCTTGCCGTTCGTCGAGTGCTGGAAGAAAACCGAGGCGGCGGGGCGCTTCCAGGCTGGTTTTCCTCGCTCTCGACGCTACAAAAAAAAATTCCATCCAACGGGCAAGTTGCAGGGGTACGAGCCTTATCGCGATAAGCTCGGGGGCAAAGCGGCCCGGCCGACCAATCGAACGTCTTGAATTGCAATAGCTCCCAAATCGGAACTTCGTCAACCTGATCTGCTTAACCGTCAGTGAACAGTTCGTTACCATCATCTCATACAATATTACACCCATGTATCCTTGATCGAAATGCGGATGTAGTCGTCCTGCACGTACTGATTCTATTCTTTTCTTCCGATTCACTCTTTTACTAGTCCATGCATGCTCTTGTCCGCTCAACGAGGAGCCTCGGCCGAAACCTCCCCTTACACATTCGAAGATGTCTTAGTGGTCGAGCTTACAGCTCATTGAGAATCCGGCCCCTGGGGATACCATCAACTGCCTTAGGCCCCTTACACCAACGAAACACACCGCAACACACGGGAACTCAGTCGCGATTCATTTCATCGAGTTCAGAAGTCATATTCAAGGAAGACACCATCTATGCCTTGTCAACAGCACAGGGCCGGGCCGGCATCGCCGTAATACGTGTGTCTGGCCCCGGATGTACAGATGTGAGAGCATTTCCAGCAATCTCATAAGATCTCGGCACTAAAACCAAACCCAGGTCTACAAAGGCCTATGCCCAAACAAGGCATTGCCAAAATCTCGATATGCATCGGTCAGAACCCTCGTAGACGGACAAGCCGGCGAGGAGGCATCAATCTTAGATTCAAACGCCTTGGTGCTGTACTTCCCCGGGCCCAAAACAGTGACTGGAGAAGACGTCCTGGAGCTACACGTGCATGGCGGCTCCGCAACAGTCAAGGCAGTGCTTGCCGCAATCCCACGATGCGCCTCCGCCTCCGGCAGCAGCGGCAGCAGCGTCATCCGCTACGCTGAACCAGGCGAATTCACCAGACGAGCCTTCCTCAACGACAGACTCGACCTCGCACAGGTCGAATCCCTGGGCGACGCCCTATCCGCCGACACGGAGCAACAGCGCCGCGCCGCAGTGCGCGGCAGCTCGGGCAGTCTAGGCCGGACCTATGAGGCTTGGCGCGAGCAGCTCCTCCTAGCCAGGGGCGAGATCGAGGCCCTCATCGACTTCTCCGAGGACCAGCACTTTGACGAGTCTCCCGCAGAGCTGATGAGCAACGTCAGCGGGCTCGTCGCTGACATGCGGCACCGGATCCGCGCCCACGAGCGCGCCGGCCAGCGGAGCGAGCTCCTCCGAAACGGCATCCGCATCGCGCTGCTCGGTCCGCCCAACGTCGGTAAGAGCTCGCTGATGAATCTCGTCGTCGGGAGGGAGGCGTCCATCGTGTCGATGGAGGCTGGTACGACACGGGATGTTGTCGAGGTCAGCCTCGATATCAGGGGGTACCTCTGCTCCTTTGCGGATACGGCTGGCATCAGGACGAGACTTGCTGCCGGCAACGGTGGTGGTGGTGGTGGTGGCGCTGCTGCTGCTGATGATCCCTCTGAACCTGTGTTGGGGCTGGTTGAAGAGGAGGGTATCCGGCGCGCGAAGCAAAAGGCCTCAGAATCCGACGTCATCATCGTCCTGGCGGCCGTCGAGCCTGGCCCCGGCCCCCACGGCGGCTTCCGGATCAACTACGACGCGGAAACATTACAACTGGCGTCCGAGGCGCAGGCCTGTTTGATCGTGGTCAACAAGCGCGACGCCGTCGACGCCGCCACCTTCTCCAGCCTCCTCGAGCGCTTCAGAAACGAAACAGCTTCCCAGATACCAAATCTCCGTACAGCGGAGATTATCGCAATCTCCTGCCGCGAAGCCGAGGCGCAAGCCAAGTCCCCCTCCCCCGCCAGCGCCAGCGTCGGTCAAAAAGATCCGGGCGCCATCCACGGGCTCATCGACCGCCTGGTCGATTCCTTCGCCGGCATGACGGCCCTCCCCGTGGACCAGCAAGACCTGCTAGGCGTCACGGCCAGGCAGGCGCAGCTACTCGAGCAGTGTCGCGGGTTCCTGGACGAGTTCATGGCCGTAGCGCATCCCAACGAAGAAGGAGGAACAGGAGACGGCAAGGAGCCTGATATCGTCCTGGCGGCGGAGCACCTGCGCTATGCAGCAGACAGTCTTGCCAAGATTACGGGGCGCGTTGAGGCGGGAGATGTGGAAGAGGTTCTCGGGGTGATTTTTGAAAAGTGAGTCTTGACTATTTTGCCTCTCATGTTTTTTTCCCCCCGTGGCACATTTCACTAACTTGTTTGGCTTTTTTAGGTTTTGTGTAGGAAAATAGTGATTATACTACCGGACGGTGAAGTCCTCATATATCTAAATCTAATCTGTCGAAGACATAGGAGAAATAGAGGAGAGAGAAGGAAAGGAGAGAGATGCAAATCAAATCCGTCAACGCCGGCCCAATGCAACAAAGAAAACCATTCTTCTTGGAAAAGAGGCATGCCATGCTTGCTATGCAGTCCCAAATTCCAATAGAGGAATAAGAGAGAGGGAAAAGAAGGAGTGTGATCCGTCGCGATGCTACCATCTACCCCGAACTCCGGCCCAATGCATGAGATAAGAAAGAAGAAGAAACGCCGCCGCCAGCACCGTTTGAAGCCCAACCTTCCATGCTCGCGCAAGGAAAAAGGAAGGGCTGGGTGGGCGGACGGATGCAAGTGATAAAACGCCGGTCTAATGCTGATAGAAAAGAAAATGTCGAGCTCTCATGTCCGATGCGGCGGGGCCCGTTGTCTCATACAAGACATTGAAGCCTGAAAGGCAGCCGCGGCAGGAAGATTGAAGGATGCAAAGCCGGCGACCGAGTCCTCGTGGGATCAATGAACCCTGGCGATAAGGTGTGCGCGAAAGAGTGGTGAGACGCTTATTTGTCCTCCTCGTCGTCGTCGCCATCCTTGTTGTAGCCGGAGCGGCCCTTGTTCTGGCCCTCGTCGTCGTCATCGCCGTCCTTGTTGTATCCGGAGCGGCCGCGGTCGTTCTTCTCCTCGTCGTCGCCGTCCTTGTTGTAGCCTGAGCGGCCGTAGACGGCGGTGGCGGGAGTGAACAAAAGAGTAAAGGCGGCCATTGTGGTTGGAGTTGTGGGGTTTGTAATTGGGTTTTGGGTGTAAGGTGAGGTCGATGGGTTGTTGGTGGTGTAAGTGGTTGGTTGGTGTTGGTGTGTATAAGAGAGATTGAGATTGTTGTGGGATTGTATGAGAGCTGTGTTTAAGCTTGTGATGCTGGATTGTGAGTGTGATGATGGATTGTATTCCTGCCTCAGATGGGGATATATCAAGTAGTTTATATAGGCCTCAAGGCATCCATATTCTCTCTCATATCGAGAGACGGGGGTGGGTGTTGATGAGGCTCATCATGTAGGGGTGCGGTAGACAGGTACGGAGTGAGATCCCAGCCCTACTACCTTTACGATTTACCTCAGGTCAAGGGAGGCAGAAGAAGAGAAGCCCAGCCATTGGTACCTCGACTTGGCATCTCAGCCTCCGTGCGAGGAGGCGCGGACGCCCGGTAAACGGGTATTGCAACGACTTGGGGTTGGGGCGTTGGGGCGTTGGGCTTGTGTGGGAGATTGAGATACCTGCGATGCTAGTTTCGGCACGGCCCCCACGGCTTCTCTGTCTCGCTCTCTCTAGGCAGCCCTTTTGCTTTCCAAATTTGGTACATGGGGAGGGCGATGACATGTACCCAAGGCAACCAAAGAAACATGACCGGGGGCGGGTAATGAAGAAAAAAAAAGGACCCATGAAGGACAAGCTTTAGCCTTCTTTCTACTACGGTACGAGGAAGTATCGTAACACCTTTCTTCTTTAATGGGTAACATGAACGAAGTAAAGTCGACAAGTGGCATCCATCACTGCCCGGCGCGCGCGCGCGCATGTGGTATGCGGGTGGTGTTGCGTGTGTGTCACTGTCATCGGTCTGCAGACCACTCGGCATACGGCAGACCAGAAATTCGGGCGACGTGATGGTGGGATTCGCAAGGTTCCTCGTCATGGTGTGAGATGCAATGGGCAAGGCGAGGGGAAACGCCATGCGCTGGAGTGCCGCGGGCCTGGATTGTGGTGATCTGGGCAGATGTGGCTCTCAAGTCAGTTCCCTGTGAGTAACCCAGCAGCTCCGCAATAGGCTGTCATATCAATGGCTCATTTCCGTTTCTGGTCGTCAGACGGCCAAGGGTGTGGCTCACTGGCTTGTCCTCCGAACTTTTGGAAACAAGGGGGACAGGGACGAAAACCAAGGCGACGGGTTTTGGTTACACGGACTGGTGCATCATGATTAGTCGATGCGCTAAAGGAGACAGGAAAAGATTGTGAGCAAGTCTTGTTTGGCGAATGGGAGAGCCACCGACAGGGAAGAGGTCGGACGTGTAGGGCTGAGTAGTCTAAAGGGGACCACCTGTGCAGAGGAAAAGTAAGCACCAGCCTAGCCTGCCTAGAGAGACGTCTCAGGTCGGCCCGGATGAGATCGCGTAGCAGCCACAGGGTATGTCTCTGTCAGCATCTTCGAGGCTGTGCAAATGGTTTTCTTCTTCTTTCGAGTCTCTGAGCAGCGAGACGCTCGGAGGCGGGGGGACGGTGGAGGGTAAATTGGAGGGTTGAAGGCTGACATAAGGACAACCAGCGCATCTCCATTGAGCAACTGACCGATACGACAGGGGAATGATCTAACCACCTCAGCCAGCTTGACGGTCACACGTGTAATCTTGATTCGTTGATTGCAGTGAAGGCTGCGACTGCCTCCGGCGGTGCCCGTAAGTCTCTACCTTGGATAGGCGTAGTCATTACAAAGCTCCGGAGCTACTCGGTGTTTGAGTCCCATGGTCGGTGAGGAACGGACGGGCCGCTCATGGCCGTTCGTCCCGTCATTGGTAAGACACCGGCGGTTGTTCCCCCGACAGTGATCGACACTGCAGGTGAGCAGGCGAAAGAGTCACCGGTGTCGTAGGTACATGGGCATGGAGTCGCCTTGTGAGGCATCTCATGTGACGACAAACACAAGCCATCGCGAAGTGACGGGCATTGAAAGACGGGCATGGAAGCGGAAAGATGGGTGATGCCGGAAACTCCGCTCAGTGCTTGCAGCAAATGACTGCCTTGGTTCCGTGGGGGCCCCGTGGAGCATCCGGAGAGACGGCAGAAGGCAGTGCTGGTCCGCATTTGCGGATGACCTAAGATTCTTTGGCCTCAATCGACAAGGCATCGAGTGGTTGCTGTAATCATCAAGTCTGGTTTGTGATGCCGAAACAGACGTGGTCCTGGTTGACCGAGTGTGCTCAAGACGGCATAGGGCGCATCAAGGATCGGACAAGACCGAAGTGTGAAGTCATTGGCAATTGTGATTGCAGAGGTGCATCGCATCGACAGCGTTGGACGACGGATATGACAGAATACGACTGCTATTGCCGCAAAGGTTCGTGTTTCGGGCAACGAGGTGTACTCGGTTACAGGCCCATGATCCTTCGAGCGACTCGAAATAATAGAAACCACTGTGAGTCAGCGGATGCAGCGCAATAGTTCCATGCGCCCTGTTGCCAAGTCTAAATCAGGCTTTTCCATGGGCAGACTAGTGTCTGTATTTCTCGTCAAACTTTTGACTGCCAAACTGTTGGCGTTTCCTCTGATAAGATGGTTGTAGAGGCTGCTTTCGAAGGGATGTCGTTGTTGAAGGTGTGAGATGGGACGAGATGAACGGGGGTGCGACGGGGATGTTGGGGTCCAAAAGGGGCCGTTCAATGTTCATGAAGCAGCTGCCTAAGGAACTTTGGAGGTGCAGTGCCCGGGTGTGCTCGAAGCCACGTGCGACATTTCACCCATTGCCCGTTGGTATGGGAGTTGGGGGCCATGGGGCTTTCCTTAGGTTTCTTGAGTTTCCTCCAGCCCATGAGGTACATAGATACCTAGGTACTGATAGATGACTAAGGAGGACGTGGGCAGTAAAGGATCTGAGCTTTGCGGCCCCCCAGACGGGCAGGCACAACAGAGATTCGCACTTTGCAACGAAAGGAGGCAGGTCCTTGCTAGGGGCCGGCGCCCGGACCTTCTATGCGGCCCATCCAATCCTCCCCCTCCAACGTCTTGGCCTTCAGTTGTTAGAACCCAAATCCCTCCCGACTACATTCAACTATACCATCGAACGTCAGCCAAAATCAACCACCATCGTGTCGTAGACTTCAAGTAACGATGGTATTGAGAATATATGAAAGGGTAGAGTGACAGAAAATACGGCTCCTCAGATAGGTACAACGGCGACGGCTCGTCGTCGTCCTTGTCCTTCCAATTCGGGCGCTTAATCTTGTTTGCCAAGTGACAACCAACAAACAAACAATAACCAACGCCACCAACAGAATGCTCCAACACAATGCTGAGCCGTCAATATGGAGTCGGGTACCTGTGCCGTACGGTTACTGGGCCAGGAGTTTCCACCGTTCTTCTCTTTCTCTTTTCCTCTTCAGAATTTCTCTTCCACTTCCACGAGCGGTGTTACCTCTCTTGACATTAACTGCCTTCTTTGCACCGCGACAAGTCGAAGTTTTGCGCCATGGAGTCTTTACCTGTCGAAGTCCTCCAAATCACCTTGAGTTACCTCTGTATGCATTGCCGAGACCCCACCGGCTTCCCTCACGCAGATACACAAGAGATCCGGGACGACAAGAGAGCATTGGCTTTCCTTTGCAGAATCTCAAGGCGCATATCTGCGGTAGCCTATCCGATCTTGTACCACTATTATGCGACGGGAAACATGCACCTTAGACAGACAGTTATTACCAGGCAAAGGCCCATCAGAAACACCCCCGAGCCGAACCTGGTTCGGGAATTCACCCGTACCATCCGACAGCGACCTGACTTGGCCTCATACGTTGATGCTATGCAGGTTGCAAGCTGGGACCTGGAAATCAATTATCGCCTAACATCACCGGACTCCTCCAGCTCCGACAGCAGTGTGTCGGACTCAGAAGTGCCCCCCGAAGTGTGGGAAGCTGCCAGCACATTATACACTGAACACTCGAGGAAGCCACACCCACCGACGCTAATAAAAGACTATAGCAAGCTGGAAGGCGAGGTTCCAGATTTGATAGCGGCTATCCAGTCTTGTCCTCGTTTGCAAAGTCTTCTCGTCAGTTACAGTGACCACGACCCTATCTGGCCCGAAAAAAGCTGGCTGGGGCTGAGAATGCCCTCGATACGTCGTCTGGGTGTCATAGTCGGCCTATCCAGGCAATGCACACTCTATCTCGGTTTTGCCGTAATGCAGAACATCTTCCCAAACGTCGAATCCATACATTCTAGCACGGGAGGCCTTTGGATACTGCAGCGCGGCACGCTTCCCACCAAAGACCCTACCAACTTTTTGACAAAATTGAAGAGCCTTTCAATCGCGGGAATGCGAGACCCTCATTTGGAGGAGCTGTTGAAATGTGTGCCTGGCCTCGAACGCCTTGAAATAACCAACCAGAACTACGATTGCTCCTGGCGAAGGGCCCTCAAACCGGTGCAAAATCGACTCAAGAGTCTTCATATATCCTACCATCTCAAGCCGCACCATGGCATGAAGCTTTGGGATGTCAAGTTCCGCCACAGCGAGCGGTTGAGACTATTAGGCGCTCTGGAGGAACTCTCACTCGACTGCCGGTTGATCCGGGACATCGCCACGCCCTTTGCTCCCGAAGCTAGACTGGCATCACTACTACCGCCGTCGATTCGTATTTTTAGGATCCGATATCTTCATTATGTAATGTCAGGGACGTTGAAGTACCTGGCAGACGTGGCACCCACACGGTTCCCGCATCTCAAGCTCATCCACATTGGGGTGAGCGAGCACGAAATGCCCGGGCATGAGAACATGGTTGCGGCAATGGAGGAACCGACGCGCCAGCTCTTTGCGGCGGTGGGCATCGATTTGTTGTGGACGCAGGATCTGGTCTGGGAACAGAAGAGGCCTGGAAGATTCCTGGGGTCGGGGATGAATTTGACGGCGGATATACCTCTTCCGGTGGTACCCGAGCATATGATCATTCATTAACGCAGAGTAGGGTGTGCAGAGAAAGAACTTCCGGCTGACCGTCATGAG